CCGCTCCGCTGGTACTGGTACAACAATTCTTGCCAGCGATATTAATGCCCGCACAATTGGTACTGGTATTCGGGTTCTTGCCACCGCTGCCCGACCAACTGGTACTGGTATGTGAAGTTGCCCATCGAGATCCAAGTTCATATAGGATGTCAATGACAATGATCATTGTAACCTTTGGGTGAATAAAATGTGTGTGCTTTTCTTTCCATGACATCCCATTTTAAAGCTCATGCAGAGTCTGCTTAACAAGACACTTGCTACTGAAGCATACAAATTCTATAGAAGGGTTGGAGGCATGTAGTATAAATACTTGGTTGTAGAGAAAATTACTTTTGATTGAGTTTATGCACATCTTATTTGCATTACAAATCAAGTGTTTTCTTTGCTCGCTCTCTCTCTCTCTCTCTCTCTCTCTCTCTCTCTCTCTCTCTCTCTCTCTCTCTCTCTCTCTCTCTCTCTCTCTCTCTCTCTCTCTCTCTCTCTCTGTGCACTCATTTGGTGCCATCCCTTACCCACTTTTTTCTTGGGAATTTCTTTTTTTTTTTGCCGTTTTCTATGTTCTTTTGGCAAGTAACAAGAGGTAGAAAAAGTGTGCACCAGCTGCCAGTTTCACTTTTACTCTGAGATTTCATTCAGGATATACAAGGTATTTAAAGTCCACTCGTACTTGTGCCCAGACTCTAATCTACATTTCTCTCCTTCCAACAAGAAATTGGGTGTCTTTTGTTTCTAACGGTTCGTAAATTTCTTGCCTATTTACCTTTAAAAATATTATCATATTTAATGCATAACTCGTAACTTTTGATGATTTCATGGACTTAAATAGGAATCTTGAGACTGTTTCATTTGGATTGACCCCGTCAATCGAGCACAAACACGACATGTCTTGCCAGAGACGCAGTAAAAACCGTGTGCATAGCTGTCTTACTTGGACTCAGCCTCAACTCCTCCATATAAATTGGTACACATTGGCAGAACCCAGCAAAGCAGTTAATCAAGAGAAAGAAGAGATACAAGAAAAGCAATTAGTTTACATTTCTAGATTGACGATACAATGGCGAGCAAGTCCCAACTGATGCTTCTGGCCATGTTTGTGACAATCCTCCTGGTTGGAGTGGACTTCGGTGGCATCGCAAACGCAGCAGCCCAGCAGCGATGCAAATCTGGATGGAACTGGGATGGCCACAAGTGCATTCAGTGTCCCAAAGGTTGGTTCTGGTATAGCAGCGATTGCCACCGATGCCTCTCCGGATGGAAGTGGAGTGGAAGCAAATGCGTGAGTTGCCCGAGCAACTGGTACTGGTACAACAACAAGTGCCACCAATGCCAGTTTGGCTGGAAATGGAGCAAGGACCACTGCATCAAGAACTAACCAAATTGGAGGCACAAAATGAATTGTCCTATGATTTAAATAAAATCGCAAACTTATTGGGAGAAAAAATGGGGTGAGAGAGGCTCGAACTCTCGACCTCAGGTAGAATCTCGAGACACAAACAAAGGGCCCGGAGTAAAGCATCGTCTTAAATCAGAAAAACTTTGTTTTGAAAGTAATGTGCGCAAATTTATATACTCATCCCAAGCGTGTGCTTCTGCAACATCAACCTACTCTCTGGCAGAACCAAAGTGAATCATAGAACTCATAGATCTCTTCCGTGGAATCAGGTCGGTCGATCAGAATTCCCTTGCAAGGAAAAAACAAAGCAAGCAAACAAGGCTGTTACCGAGTTCCTCACTTTCATGCCTAGCAAACTGTGTCAATATATGTCGATCAATGAACGGCAGTACTAGCATTTCATCGTAGTTGCCTTTGAAGTACACTTTGAACTCCTCTTCCAGATCCACTGGCAGTTGATTCTCCAGCAACACCCGAACCTAAAAAAAATTTGGCAGTTAGAAAGAAAATTACCAAGAAATTAGGATTTCTGGCGCTAATTGTGCGGTTCGACACACAGAGATTCAACGTGCACAAGGATGTGGCTGGCGACGTCACGATCGCTGCACTTCATGATGTATATGTGGGAATGGATGGAGAGGGTACTGGTCGATGGTTCTGAGTGTTTCTAGATTCAGTGCACAAGTTACTCAACTTACGAGTCAAGTTCCTAGTACCTGCTCTTTCCTTTTAACTAAAATAAGATTAATGAAGAATAGGTTTATTTGAACATTTTCAATTAGGTTTCTGGCGTAAATGGAGGTTCTGGATGAACATACACAGCGATTTGACGTATTGCGAAGATGTTTCCAGTAAGTGTTAAACCACTTTATGATATTTGTTTTGATTTGTTTTGTTTTTCAGAACTGGGTGGAAAATGATATCTTGAACCTCACTAATAAGATTGATGGATTTTCTCGTGAGGAGGCAAGAAAACAAGCAACACAGAAAGTTCACTCCAAATATGACACAAATGGTTCTGAGTGTTTCTGATAGAGATTCAGTGCACAAGTTATTCAACTTGCGAGTCAAGTTCCTCGTCAGATATATACTAGAGGCTCTGGGTACAAAGCCTTTAGCAGAGGACATCAAGCCTGCTCTGGAAGCTGCCTTCCAGAAGTGAGCTTCATTTTACTTATACCTTAGTTGCTAATCGCTGTTTCAGGATGGACGAGCAAGTAAAAGGCCTGGCTGAGGAGCTAGACTTCCACGGGCCTGCAGTGTTTCTGGCGACGAAGTTCAACAGTGTGGTGGTTATCGTTCATGAAAGATGGGTGTACACTGCTGGGGATTCGGACGCGCATATAATCCTTGCCAGGAAGTTGGAGCCCTTTTATTTTACCACAGGCTATCACCAGTAATGGATAAGGAAGAGCTTCCTAACTATGGAAGTGATGAGCCATCTTGTTCTATTTTCATCAGGTGATGTCTTATGTGCACAGTGCGAGTCTCTTTCTCACACTTTTGTGTGTCAAGGAACGTCTACAAACCGCAGATCAGTATCTAGTGATTGGCTCCAAGCAAATATGGACCTACATTCGGGAGACGGACTACATGCTACCGATCCTGCAGAGCCGCATAGATGTTGAGGTGCATACTTTGTTTTGAACAGTGCTCCATCCAAATGCTTCGTTTGCAGGGCCTGAATGAGGCGTGTAAATCTATAGTTGGACCATTCAAGGACCGAAGCAAAATCCTTATAGTAATCACGCTTCAAAAACACGCTCACGAACGGTAGCGTTAAGCGTCCTCGGCTCGATGACTCTATGTTGGAGGAGCTCTTGAACACGGAATGGCAAGACATTGGTAAGGCTTACAAGCAAGGTAACTAATCTGACCTGTTCTTTCGCAGATGACCCGGAGGATCGCGTCATCGGCGATCCTCTACGCTTCTTGTTACCATACGGTATGTCTAGGTTTTTTCTTTTTACATCTGGTTGCTCACTATGGATTTCTCCAGTGAATGGCAGGAAGCAAGATCCTCTTCCACGACGTCTGGTGAGTACTATGCATTTCATTACATACAAGAACCTTGTGCAGAGGATGAAATTGAGATTTCATCCTCTCTTTAATGTGTCTCCTGTGTAAAAATATGCAATCCATTTGTAATACAGTGTGCACAGAAATGACATTTGGGGTTCTTTCTTCAGTGAGTATGGGGGTTGACCCGGCTGATCCAGTTGGTTTACTTGCTCGGCTTTAAAAATCATTCCGCTCAAGTGCGAGGAGCATACACGCAAGGTAGTGAACGGGGAATGGAAGAGCTGCTTGATTGAGGTCGCCGCCGTGCTGGGCGAGATGCTTCCTGCGGATCTCCGTGCTGCGTGAACCATTGCTGCGCGAGACTCGGGCATCGTGTAAGAAATTTGCCTGGCCGCCGCCAGCTTCAATGTCCAAGAGATCAAGCTCCTCTCCGGCATCCAGCGAAATCTTACTACATGTAATGCCGTGCTAGCAACTCCTTTAGAGGTGGCTGAAACCAACAGCAAACACGAAAGATGACGTCGAACACATTGGCATATTGGTCACAGCATTTAAGAATCATATTCAATACGGATGGCATGAGTGGCTGTATCAAATCTGCACCATCGAGAGATCTCGTGACATGGAATGCCCTTCTTCTCTAAACTCGATAATGTCCAGGAATGCTCTTGGATTACGGAGGCCAAGGGTCTGTTCGATTCATCTGGCCGATGAGGTAAAGTTTCTATTTGCCTAAACTTTGTTGCGCACTGCGTTTTCCATACTTATCGTTTTTTATCCTAGCGTTCTATGCCCAACCATATCGACCAGGTCAAGAGCTTGTTTTTGGCAATGCCCGAGCACGATCCATGAAGGAGTTGAATATATCTATTGTCAAGAGAAGAAGGTTGCAAAATGATGTCATAACCCATGTGTACAAGTCCCACACTGAATCAAAACCATGAAAGAAGAAGTGCACGGAAGCAAAACAATGACTCCAAAGATAGTCGAATACAATGTCATAACCAAATATACAATCAATGAAGTGGTACTACTGCCACTTAGGATCATGTCATAGAGAGCGTATACCTCAACAAACCACTCTTAACATCCAATCCCCCTCCAGTCTTAAGAGCCAGGTCAGAGCGGGAGACCCACTCAAGCTGCTGTCTCGCAGCTTGTTCCGCACTAGATGCTCCGTGACGAGCTGTTGCTTAACCGGAGGTGGCTCCTTATGGAGCTTGATGTGGAACATGCGGGACGAAGCTGGAAGCCTGTAACCTCCCTAGAACGGCCCAAAGAGCCACAGGTAGAGTGTACCTTTGGGGCTGGAAACGGGTTCGCCAACCTCAACGGAACGGAAGGAGCTATGCTCGGTCGCTGCTAATCACTGATATATAGTTTACAGGTGCGTCACCATCTTTCCCTCAAGCACGCTAAGCTCCAAGTCGACCACCACAGTATCAAGAGCAACAGCATCCTTTCGTTCCTTCAGGCAGCTTAAGTCGAGACTTGGGGAAAGGCATATTTTAGGACTACAAGCGTATCAGAGTGCTTTGTCAATTATATAAGTTTTTCAGAGCCCATTTGGCGACTAGGGTTAACAATGTCTGCATCCATTGCGAGGCAAATTGAAGCACTCGTGGAGAAAATCGAAGCACTCGAGCAGCAAATGGAAGCAGTCAAGAAGCTAATCGAAGAGGCAAAAGATCCAGAGGAGAGGGAGGAGCTGTGGGACGAGAGGCAGCAGCTGCAGGACGAGAGGGAGCAGCTGCGGGATAGAAAGCAGCAGCTGTGGGATGCCTTGTTGAACCGTAAGTTGTCTATCTCGTTTCGTGGTTTTGTTTGTTGTGGGCTGGCCTCCTCTATGTTTGGCTGCGCGCCTGTTTCCTCGTTTTGTGGCTATGTATTTGCCTATTTGTTACATTTCTGTTTCAGCCACCACGGCGGCGATAACACTTCAAGCTGCGCCAGGTAAGCACTCGCTCTTGTCTGTCTGGCTTGCTAAAGAGTTCGTTTTGGATCGGTTTGTGTTGTAGTGTCCAAGTTGCTGGATGTATACGGAGAACAACTGCAGCGCGCAAGGTGTTTTCACCGGATGCCTGAGACGAGGGTGCCAACCTGCAAGTTTCCTCTTCTGGACAACGGTGGTTTATGTACGGACTTGGGAGATTATTTTACTTTGGTCGGAAGGGAGGAGACGATTCAGCATCTGATGGCAGCCGCTGCAAGGGTGTTTGGAACTTTCATGAACACGACGGCCAATGCCTCGGATATTGAACAAAGAGAGTTCTTGTTGATGCTCATCGGATTTCCCGGCGCAGGTAAAACAACTGTCGGGACATGCCTCTCAGCTCTTCTCAGAGAAGCGTGGGAGAGGGACACAAAAACAGGGGATATAGATGGCCTTGTAGAGGATCAGCTAGGCGACAAAGGCCTTGTGAAGCAGTTCAAAGAAATGGTGAACAACGTGTTGGAGACCGGCAGAGATCTTACAATGTATCATGCGGTTGAAACTACGAGGGCAGGGCATGTAACTCCCCTGGAGAACGGCCTGGCAGCAGAACAGGTTTTGGCCCTTCGGTGCTTTCATGCAGCTCTTTGTCCAGTGAATACTACTGGTTATGGCGGCTTTCTCAGGCAGTTGGATGACAAATTTCCAGGCCTGAGGAATGTGCTGACTTTCGGAGATGTGATCGACTTCATTCGAACTGGTCTTAAGGTTCCTGCAGATAAGCGAATTTTCCTATCTTGGTTTTTTGATGACGTCAACAAGGCCCGGCCTCAGCACGGTCGCCCACCAGCATCGTCCTGGATTCATGATGCTTTCTCGGCCTACGTTCAACATATCAAAGATAACCGAGGTGGCCTGACGTTTCCTATACTTACAGCAGCAACGACCCAATTTGCCGGGGCCACAATGCGCTACACATCAACGGAGAAGGCTCTAAGTATTTTTATACCTATCAGGCCTTTGAAAGAGCAGGAGGTGGTCAGAGTTACGAAAATCTTCCTTACAAGACTAGGAAATACTCTGGACATGGAGAAACCATTTGAGCTCAAGGACGGACTAAGGAACCTGATAAAGTTATCAGGAGGGAATCCTCGCATGCTTGATCACCTTTTGAGAGGGTTGATGCCTGACCTGGATGCTTCGAAGTTCTATGAAAAGGTTTCCTTGTCTTTTATCTTGATGTGATGAGAAAATTTCTATGTTTGTTACAGGTGAATCAAGATCTCACTCAAATCGATCTCCGTAACACAATAACGACCGCCTGGGGTAATATCAAACGTGGGTTTTATTATCGGTACCTTAAGGACGAGAAGTATTTGTTGGTGTTACGAGCTTTTTATGTTGCACTGCTGGGGACCCTGATCAGTCGGGAAGAACTAGTCTGGCCAGGTAGCAGATACGAAGATAACTGGGGGTCTTTAGAGTCTTGCGGTTTAGTTGGACTCTTACGCAACGAGGTACTATTTTGATATTTCAGAGTTTATGTCAGAACTTCTGCGGTTGTCAATTACAGGAGCTATCATCTAACAAGAAGATTAAATTATCAAGAGATGAAGATGCTACTTTCTCCATCATGTTCTCTCCACTCCTCATTTACCATCTCGTCGAGAACCTACATGTGGTGGAGCTCCAGGATTTGTGTCCATCTAAACTAATCTCTAATCCCAAAAACAAGGAGGTATCTGATCTGATGTCCATTGTGTTGATGATCTATATGTTGCGGCTTTTTCATGATCGTGAGGGGAAGGGAACAGTATTCAAGTTTAGACTCGAAGAAATTCTTCCCTCCAATTTCTGCATTCCTGCAAGTATGCAAGCTTTGAAGTTCCGGGTGCCAGCTGGTGCAAAGTTTGGACGTCCGACACATCAGCCTCATCAGATACATACAGCAGATGTATTTCAGGCCTTCCTAAGAGACAACAGTCAGCAGTTTTATTGGGTTGGTGTTAGCAACCACGAACCTGATAGCTTCATCCATCTGCAGCTGGTGGATGCTGAAAACAAGCTGCAAGATTTCTTTTTATTTATTGAGAGCAAACACAGGTATAAAAAACCTTTATAAAGCTCAATGTAATGTACTGTATAACAGGGATGTTTATGAAGGGCAGCAAGCCAACTGGGAAGAAAACTTTGAGAAAAGAATATGGACAATAAAGCATTGGATGAATGAAGGTATTCATTTTCTAGTTGTGGGAGGTTAATTGTGTGTATTTTCAGGTGAGAATTATGCCATAGTCTTTATGACCGATCAAGCATTGGGTAACTTGATTTCCAAAGTCAAAAAATCTGAAAGGATGGTGGTGCTTGTGCCAAAGGTTCATGAATGTTTGTATGGGTATCCAGCACAGAGTCCATTTGGTAAGTTATTTTAATTCTTTTATTATTAGTTTTTTATGTTTTATTTGTAGGTTTATTAGGTGCTGTGTGTTTTGATCTCGTCTACAAACCTAGTAATGAGCAAGATGACAGTTTTGATGAAGAGCCCAGCACGAAGAGGAGTCGGTGGTGTTTTTAAAATGCTGTTACCACATTTACTCATTTACCAATAATATTAAACGTTTGTTGTGACGATTTATCCCGCTAAAGCTCACAAATCTTTTGAAATTAATGTGGTCATGGCTAGAGAACTGATGTATGCTTGAGTATGCATAAACATCCCATGCGTGCAAAGATTTGTGCTATATTGACGCTATGAAGGAAAATTTGTGTAGTTCTTGTTGGGATGTCCAAGGAACAGATTAATCGGTCTTTTGTGTGAGGACACACAATTTTAAGTAATCGCTACAGATGTAATAGGCTCCCATACAAAGGTTGGGCAACAATGTTTAGCACTATAGTCATTTTGCAGTTTGGGAACTTTAGAAAGATCTAATCTCGCGAATTGGATCGCAAACACATACAATCCGGCGCTGGACACCTGAAAACGGAGTACCTCGATTTCCTCGGCTCGATCGCTCCCATTCGCGACTCGTGCGCCGCGAAAGCCCGCTCCGCAAAGCTCGTCCAGTTCGTCGCGTGTCTCTCGTCCGAAAGAAGCGTTGCTAAGCGAGCTTTGTCGGGATGAACCGATGCGTAAGGCCCAAAGTAGCTTCTATGTCCCGTCTGCAAGGGAGGAAGAAAGGAATCACTAATCCCAGATCGATCTGACTTGCTCACCAGGACGTTTGGAAGATTTCCAGCGGCATTGGACATATAGACGTCGCTGTTGAAGAGCACCCTGAAGTCCAAGGCCGTCAGCTTGTGAGCGAAGTTCCGGAAAGGCGCCAGCTCCTGTCTCGTGGCGAGCGAGTGCTTGTTTTCGACAAGAGGGAACAGACTTTTCAGCGGCTCCATTCTCCGAGGTCCCCCATAAACTGCCTGTTTTAGAGACGAGTCTAGCGGCGAAAAACGAAAGAACAAGGAGTTCGTGTACCTTTCCAGCAATATAGAGGGGCGTAGTGGCGGTAAAGCCGAATGCGGCAAGGAGGAGGCCGACCTCTTCTGGAGTTAGAGGACAGCTTCCATTTCGCCGAAGATCAGAAGGCCTCTTCAGCGCTTTGATGACTCGGTTACTGGAACACAGAAAAGCAGAAAGTAGTATTTCGCAGTTAGGAATGTTAAGCTGATGCATACCTCCAAACTTGGTATCGAAATGACGCAAGAGCTTTCTGCTCGGCCTGACCTCCACCAAAGTCACAACTAGAATATGCAAGCATGTCTCTTTCGAATCTCACGTGAAGACCGATGTACTTTTTTGTCGAATTTTCCTGGTTACGCAGTGGATCGCCTGATAATGTTTTGGTTCTCATCCGCAGCGTCAATGCATCTCCAAGATCCCGGATCGGCTTCACAAAGCGCAGGGCGTAGAAGTTCACCTTGCATCGCAGCTTGCTGATACTCGCAGGGAGACCTTCAAAGGTAAGTTTGTGCTCAAAACCATCGACAGCTGCGACTTCATATCTGTTTTGGAATAACCGTTAACAAACATGCAAACGAAAAAACAGTGATCCCGTTTACCTTTCCATAATCGGGAGAATGTGCTGGAAGAACCATTTGGGGGTAGTGTGCTTTGGAAGAAACGTCATACAATTCGGCCTATCCAAGCAACGTCCCCAGTAGAAACTCGGCGTGCTCCAACTATACATTGCAGGCAACTCTGTGACGACTTTCACATCGCCTTTCAAGGTTGACATGAAATGGTTCAAGTCGTAAATATCTTCAAACTGGCTGAAACATACACAGAAACAAGTAAATTCACCAAGAAGCAAATCGAAGAACAAGTGTAGAACCAAAGACCTTGGATCGTTCCAGAACGGATGGTGCTTGAAGTATGGAATGACAAGCGTAGCATTGAGAAGCCTTGCTACAGCAACAGCATTGCAGACCTGAAACCAGCCACTAGAGATTCGTCAAAGAAAAAGGCAAAACCATTTCTTACACAAATATGTAGCTGAAACAAGCCTCCTCCGCAAAGAACTTGAAAGTAGCGAGATCGATCCCATGTCGTCACTACACACCTGATAAAGCTGTAAAGAGTCGAATTTCTCGTCACAAAGAACTTACGTGAGAAACGATCAAAATCCTCGGGGCACCGCTTCCAGCCATTGTCTGAGGGCCTATCCCACAACCCCGGACGCTCCAATCTACCCTGTAAGAATATTTTCATCTGGGGAAACGAAGGAACACCCGAGAGGCAGCCATACCTCTTCTTTCCGGAAGGATTCCACGAGATCGCGGTACTGAAAGCGAGGAGGATCATATTCCTGGCGCAGAATGTAGCCTCAGCCGACCGAGAAGAAGAAAAAATCCCCTAAATCCCTCACCGAGAAGAGGTCGATCGTCCATGCCGCTTCCTCGCTCACGCCTCCGATGCGATATCCACACAATCCGGCGGCCAAGAGCAAGAACAGCAGGAGCTTCCATTCCGGATCCACGGCGTCACTCTTGTGCTGCTTCGCCGCTTTGCGATGGCGCTGCCACATTCTCAAGATCTATGCTAATCCCTATTACCGTACCTCGTCCGTACGAGGTATTTAAACATATAGATTAAATAAATTGCTACGCATTGCATGTAGCAACGCTTGGTTTGCTTAATGGTAGTTTTATTATTACTTATTAATCTAATTGATCAAATAAAGTTTATAATCATAAGCATGTTAGTAATTTATAAACACAAGATTAATCTTATTGCATATCAACCATTAGATAATAGAATAAAAATAATATACTAGAAAGGGTTTAGGAAAGTTTATAAATTATAAACATGTTTATAAATTATAAATACCAGATTAATCTAAATGAATACCAACCGAATTGATCAAATAAAGTTTATAATCATAAGCATGTTAGTAATTTATAAACACAAGATTAATCTTATTGCATATCAACCATTAGATAATAGAATAAAAATAATATACTAGAAAGGGTTTAGGAAAGTTTATAAATTATAAACATGTTTATAAATTATAAATACCAAATTAATCTAAATGAATACCAACTGTTAGATGGTAGAATATCCTAGAATATCCAAGCATATTTTAGGTATATTCACTACCATCCCAATCCCCCTATGCTTAAGCAAACCAAAAAAGGACTATAGACCAGTGCTAAACATTGTTGCCCAACTGGGCAATGCTTGGTATGGGAGCTTATTAGCGATTACTTAAAATTGTGTGTCATCACACAAAAGGCCGATTAATCTGTTCCTTGGACATCGCAACAAGAACTACACAAATTTTCCTTCATAGCATCAATATAGCACAAATCTTTGCACGCATGGGGTGTTTATGCATACTCAAGCATTATAGTTTATACACACACACATATGTTAATTCACATCTAACATTTCACAATTTCAAAGATTTGTGAACTAAATCGTCACATAGTGTTACAAATTTAATATTATTGGTAAATGAGTAAATGTGGTAACAGCATTTTAAAAACACCAACGACTCCTCTTCGTGCTGGGCTCTTCATCAAAACTGTCATTTTGCTCATTACTAGGTTTGTAGACGAGATCAAAACACACAGCACCTAATAAACCTACAAATAAAACATAAAAGACTAATAATAAAAGCATTAAAATAACTTACCAAATGGACTCTGTGCTGGATACCCATACAAACATTCATGAACCTTTGGCACAAGCACCACCATCCTTTCAGATTTTGTGACTTTGGAAATCAAGTTACCCAATGCTTGATCGGTCATAAAGACCATGGCGTAATTCTCACCTGAAAATAAACACAATTAACCTCCCACAACTAGAAAATAAATACCTTCATTCATCCAATGCTTTATTGTCCATATTTTTTTCTCAAAGTTTTCTTCCCAGTTGGCTTGCTGCCCTTCATAAACATCCCTGTTATACAGTACATTACATTGAGCTTTATAAAGGTTTTTTATACCTGTGTTTGCTCTCAATAAATAAAAAGAAATCTTGCAGCTTGTTCTCAGCATCCATCAGCTGCAGATGGATGAAGCTATCAGGTCCGTGGTTGCCAGCACCAACCCAATAACACTGCTGACTGTTGTCTCTTAGGAAGGCCTGAAATACGTCTGCTGTATGTATCTGATGAGGCTGATGTGTCGGACGTCCAAACTTTGCACCAGTTGGCAGCCGGAACTTCAAAGCTTGCATACTTGCAGGAATGTGGAAATTGGAGGGAAGAATCTCTTCGAGTTTAAACTCAAACACTGTTCCTTTCCCCTCACGATCATGAAAAAGCCGCAACATATAGATCATCAACACAATGGACATTAGATCAGATACCTCCTTGTTTTTGGGATTAGAAATTAGTTTAGGTGGACACAAATCCTGGAGCTCCGCCACATGTAAGTTCTCGACGAGATGGTAAATGAGGAGTGGAGAGAACACGATGGAGAACGCAGCATCTTCATCTCTTGATAATTTAATCTTCTTGTTAGATGGCAGCTCCTGTAATTGACAACCATAAGTTCTGACATAAACTCTGAGATATCAAAATAGTACCTCGTTGTGTAAGAGTCCAACTAAACCGCAAGACTCTAAGGACCCCCAGTTATCTTCGTATCTGCTACCTGGCCAGACTAGTTCTTCCCGACTGATCAGGGTCCCCAGCAGCGCAACATAAAAAGCTCGTAACACCAACAAATACTTCTCGTCCTTGAGGTACCGATAATAAAAACCACGTTTGATATTACCCCAGGCGGTCGTTATTGTGTTATGGAGATCGATTTGAGTGAGATCTTGATTCACCTGTAACAAACATAGAAAATTTTCTCATCACATCAAGATAAAAGACAAGGAAACCTTTTCATAGAACTTCGAAACATCCAGGTCAGGCATCAACCCTCTCAAAAGGTGAACAAGCATGCGAGGATTCCCTCCTGATAACTTTATCAGGTTCCTTAGTCCGTCCTTCAGCTCAAATGGTTTCTCCATGTCCAGAGTATTACCTAGTCTTGTAAGGAAGATTTTCGTAACTCTGACCACCTCCTGCTCTTTCAAAGGCCTGATAGGTATAAAAATACTCAGAGCCTTCTCCGTTGATGTGTAGCGCATTGTGGCCCCGGCAAATTCGGTCGTTGCTGCTGTAAGTATAGGAAACGTCAGGCCACCTCGGTTGTCTTTGATATGTTGAACATAGGCCGAGAAAGCATCATGAATCCAGGACGATGCGGGTGGGCGGCCGTGCTGAGGCCGGGCCTTGTTGACATCATCAAAAAACCAAGATAGGAAAATTCGCTTATCTGCAGGAACCTTAAGACCAGTTCGAATGAAGTCGATCACATCTCCGAAAGTCAGCACATTCCTCAGGCCTGGAAATTTGTCATCCAACTGCCTGAGAAAGCCGCCATAACCAGTAGTATGCACTGGACAAAGAGCTGCATGAAAGCACCGAAGGGCCAAAACCTGTTCTGCTGCCAGGCCGTTCTCCAGGAGAGTTACATCCCCTGCCCTCGTAGTTTCAATCGAATGATACATTGTAAGATCTCTGCCGGTCTCCAACACGTTGTTCACCATTTCTTTGAACTGCTTCACAAGCCCTTTGTCGCCTAGCTGATCCTCTACAAGGCCATCTATATCCCCTGTTTTTGTGTCCCTCTCCCACGCTTCTCTGAGAAGAGCTGAGAGGCATGTCCCGACAGTTGTTTTACCTGCGCCGGGAAATCCGATGAGCATCAACAAGAACTCTCTTTGTTCAATATCCGAGGCATTGGCCGTCGTGTTCATGAAAGTTCCAAACACCCTTGCAGCGGCTGCCATCAGATGCTGAATCGTCTCCTCCCTTCCGACCAAAGTAAAATATTCTCCCAAGTCCGTACATAAACCACCGTTGTCCAGAAGAGGCAACTTGCAGGTTGGCACCCTCGTCTCAGGCATCCGGTGAAAACACCTTGCGCGCTGCAGTTGTTCTCCGTATACATCCAGCAACTTGGACACTACAACACAAACCGATCCAAAACGAACTCTTTAGCGAGTGCTTACCTGGCGCAGCTTGAAGTGTTATCGCCGCCGGGGTCGCTGAAATAGAAATATAACAAATAAGCAAATACTTAGCCACAAAACGAGGAAACAGGCAAACATAGAGGAGGCCAGCCACGAAGGGCAACAAAACCACGAAACGAGATAGACCACTTACTCTGGTTTAACAAGGCATCCCACAGCTGCTGCTGTCTATCCTGCAGCTGCTCCCTCTCGTCCTGCAGCTGCTGCCTCTCGTCCCGCAGCTCCTCCCTCTCCCATGGATCTTTTGCCTCTTCGATTAGCTTCTTGAGTGCTTCGATTTGCTGCTTGAGTGCTTCGATCTTGTCCTCGAGTGCTTCAATTTGCCTCGCAATGGATGCAGACATTGTTAACCCTAGTCGCCAAATGGGCTCTGCGGGCCCATAAAACTTCTAAAATATGCCCTTCCCCACCTGAAGGATGCTGTTGCTCTTGATAGTGTGGCGGTCGACCTGGAGCGTACTGTGCTTGAGGGAAAGGTAGTGACGCCCCTGTAAACTATATATCAGCGATTAGCAGCGACCGAGCATAGCTCCTTTCGTTCCGTTGAGGTTGGCGACCCAAAGGTACACTCTGGGACAATGGACTATGGCACGGATGAAGTTGCACCTGTGGTTCTTTGGGCCGTTCTAGGCAGGTTGGCTTCGTCCCGCATGTTCCACATCAAGCTCCACCATGAGGATCCACCTCCGGTTAAGCAACAGATCTTGTATCTGGATTGAGTGGTGGCAATGGACATTTGCCAGCTTTGTCACGGAGCATCTAGTGCGGGACAAGCTGCGAGACAGGAGCTTGAGTGGGTCTCCTGCTCTGACCTGGCTCTTAAGACTGGAGGGGGATTGGATGTTAAGAGTGGTTTGTTGAGGTATATGCTCTTGATCCTAGGTGGCAATAATGCTACTTCATTGATCGAAGTGTAGGCTAGAGGCATCTCTCTTGATCATGTATATTTGGTTATGACATTATATTTGACTATCCTTAAAGTCATCCTTACCCATTGTTTTGCTCCCGTGCACTTCTTCTTTCATGGTTTTGATTCAGTGTGGGACTTGTACACGGGTTATGATATCATTTTGCAACCTTCTTCTCTTAACAATAAATATATTCAACTCCTTCATGGATTTTGCCTATTATCTTGGCAAATGTGAAGCATAATTCACTAAATGTTGGATTGTTCACTTGTCAATAAGGAATATGAGCTGGGCTTAGATAAATCTCACATGTTGACCAAGCTGGGCCGTTTGCGGAAGGCTGTCAGCCTGTCAATATTTACAAATATTTTTTGTATATAGAGTCATGAACTATATATAGAAGTAAAATAATAACTATTAAAGATTAACTTTATATAAGAAAGATAAGAATCTCCATATACATCCATCAGATGCTGAATCGTCTCCTCCCTTCCGACCAAAGTAAAATATTCTCCCAAGTCCGTACATAAACCACCATTGTCCAGAAGAGGCAACTTGCAGGTTGGCACCGGCGTCCGGTGAAAACACCTTGTGTGCTGCAGTTTTTGTCCATATACATCCAGCAACTTGGACACTACAACACAACCTGATCCAAAAAGAACTCATTAGCAAGCTAGACAGACAAAAGCAAGTGCTTACCTAGCTTGAAGTGTTATCACTGCTGGGTTGCTGAAACAGAAATATAGACTTGTCAGTACTCGGCCATAGCCACAAAAAGCTAGAGAGGCTTTGGCAAACAAAATCACAAAATGATGTACTATATATGGATGGTATATATACATGGAAACTACTGCCACTTTGGCATTCATCATCTCTACCTCTAACACTCAAGCTTGAATAATTGTGCTTACTTAGTCTAAGATGTTGAAGAGCTGATAAGAAAAACATATGAAAAATTCATCAATCAAATACCCAAAATTTAGTTTTTGGTCTTGGCCTTGTTTACACACACTCTTGCTCCTTGTTAAGGCTTCAATTTTGCCATAAGTATATGGTCTTGGTTTCTTGCTGCTACCAAGCACTTAATCTCCATAAACACCTACAAAGCATTGTTATACAATATTTTTGAATTTTGACCCAATTCTTGATATAGATTGTTAAAATCTCTCAATCTCCCATTATCTTTCTTACTGCTACGGCTTTAAAGCATCCATGCATCTAACAAAACCTTCAAGTATGGCAAAAAGGGATTGCAATCAAGAAGCTCATCTTTGTCCTCGTCACTGGCCTCCTCACCAGCAAGTGCCATGCCCAAGATCAAGGAGCCAATTACTATTGTTGAAGGAAAAGGTTGAAGAGATACCATGAAAACAGTGGAGAAATGCACACATGAGGAGGAAGAACTTTCTATATTCAAGTGCCACATGGGCATCCACATCATCGCTACCTTTAATGCCATTGCACACATAGCAATAGAGTTTGGAGTGGAGCTAACACACCAACACTAGTCGCTACTTGGAAGAGGTATTGCAATCCCTAATGTTTTGGAGTGGACTTGCTTCCAATATTTTCTCTTAGGTAACTGGATGATTTAATTGATTGCGGTGGAGATCATGGTGGACATCAGCAGTCTCTTGGCTATCACTAATGCCTGCATAAGATCATTGTTAAGGTAGGTGGAGAATTTGCAACTCCAATGCTAGAATTCACAGGGGGCAATTGCACCTTATTTGGTGCTTTAAAGCCCCTATTCTGCCAATTCTAAGGTGGCTTGCATTTGGACTAGTGGAAACACACATCATCCTCCCAAACACACTTTATCATCCTCTTTTGTGGGATTCCTCTTAACAAACAATTAGCTTAACTAGTTAGTTTAACAAGTGAGTTGGGTGGATTTAGGATATTTTTGTAGACACATGGGCAAATAGGGTAAATTTGAACTTAAGTTGACACATATTTTGGATGGCTTTTCAAAATAATGGATGTCTTTAATTGTAACGAAGTGTAAAAAATTGCCCCGTTCCATCATTTGAGTTGTCTAAGAGATAAATGTACTGCTCGCCCAGGCCAATTCCAATTGTGGATAGATACTTGTTTCTGATTTGCCAGTCAGGGAGTTCTGCAGATCCAGCAGCTGGTTCTAGTTTAGTTCCTGACACAATAGTTATGAGAGAAATCTCTGTTGTAGAAAGGGATGAGATGCTGCTCCAAGATAGAAGACGCAGCGTGGCTCACCGTATCTCCATAGGAATCACTTATAGTTGATCAAAGTATGAAGATCACTGGGAGCGACTAAAAATCTGATACCATGATAGAGAAGTTGAGATGCTCATCAAGAGTGCAATAGGTCATGGCTGCGTCTACCCTGGAGCTGACGCAGCATGAGCGTGGACTTTGACTGCGACTACAAATGATGTTGTCATCATGTGCTCCATACTCTAATTCTCTGCTGCTCGGGACCATGATGGTAGGCCCAGGGCCACGATCACGTTTGCATCTGTTCAGACCGCCATAACAGTTCAAATGCAAGGCCGCTGCTCCCAAAGCTCGCCACAATGGTCTTCCAAGGCAGAAAAAGAAGGCCGGATCAGGCCGACAAACTGGGGGAGGCACAGTGCAAGTCCCTGTTTGCGACAGCGATTCCTTTGGTGGTGCAATAGTCGAAGATGGATTGGTACCAAGCACCAGAGCCCACACACCAGAAGTTGCTCTTCCAAGAACTCGCCTCAGCAGCGTAAATCCTGAAGGCCACCATGCGGTTTAAACTCCGCCAGCTTGTCAAAGCAAAACAACACCTTGAGGCGATCACCAGCAACACCATCCAAAGGCAAGCGCCGGATAGCAGTCCCTAAGGCTTCCTACCAGACAGATCCCTGTAGCATGCCGAATAGACTCAAAGATTGTCTCAATGCATTCCGTGCTGTTGCAAAGATCTAGCTAGGGGTTGAGATAATCTCTGAGGCGAGCAGCCATTTGCAGTTTCCTCCCCAATGATCCAATTGGCCAAGGGAATCCACCTTCCATGCACAAGACGGCGGAGACCAGTGCCCCGAACTTCGGGTAATCTCTGTCCCAGACCAAGAATGCGGACTCGACTCACATTGTCGCGCGGCTCGGCATCCTCCATGAACTCGAGGGCAAGCTCGCCGTCACGCGGTCTGTACTATAAACCCTGTATCCAGATCGGAAGTTCGGATCCGGACAATCACGTGATCATTGGTACGTGCCGTACCGTTAGTCCCAATGAAGGAACAAATCAATCAATCCCATGGTGTGGAGGACACAAAGACGCTATCCAACAATTTCATCTCATATATTGCACTTGTTATTGACGAAAGCGTTCCATGAGTAATCTGTCTCCGCCAACAAAACTACAGATAAGTCAGCGGAAGCATGCGTCTCACAATGCGCTGCTCCCCATCGGTCATGTGGAGCAAGTATTCAGCACTCCCGACTTTCAACACATCTAGCAGTTTGTCGGCAGTGGCTTGGGTGAGAAACGGAAACAACTCGGAAGATAGCCCATACACGACTATGGTCCGGTTGGCAGCACCTTCAACAACGATACGATGCTCAGGGGAGCCGAGCTGTAAAATGATACCGAGCATAAAGTTCACTCCACCAACACCAGCCTCGAGCTTTCCAACCGCTCTCCTCATCTTTGTGGAGTTGTTGCTTTCCCAGCGCTTCGCCTGAATCCCAATTGGACCGCCAGTGCTCGGGACAACGTTGTCCACGGCTTCCTGTCCAGGCTTGCACGTCAACGCTCGAATGTGCTGCAAGCACTCGTTGATTATGCCGCGCTCCAAGTTCCTACAAGTTGGCGAGAAGCCGTTGAAGTTGAGCCCCGCATCAAGGTCCACTGTGCCGGCTAGACCGTGAGGAACTTTTCCCAGCAGTTTTGACAGGAATGCTCCCAGCTTTATCTCTCCCGTGAACGTGGGATCGCCCGCGTCCCTGCGACACGCTAGCATCGCCAGTAGCAGCAGTAACCTGGTGACAATTTCCCCGGGGCCCCCTGTTACCACTCCTTCCTTGCACATCTTGGAGAGCTCGCCGAGGACTTTGTTTAGTGTCACCTCTTGAAGCAAAAACCCTGCTGCGGCCGCCGCAAGAACAGGTTCTGCGGCATTCGAGACATGAAGCCGTCGCCGGTCGTCAGAAATCCAGCAAGCTGTCATCATGTGAGAAGCCACACTCGTCTCCGCTGCTTCGGACCATGACGCAACATCCAGGCCGATGGTACAGCCGAGAACAGCAATCACCGTTGCATCTGTTACTTCGCCAGAACAGTTGAGCTTGTCCACTGCAAGTAAACGTAAGCCCTTGAAAGTGTACCCTTTGTCCATAAAAGCTCGCCACAGGGGTCTTCCTAGGCAGAAGACGCTTTCTGGGGATCCGGAAGAGAGATCCCCAGGCACAGCAGCAGTGGCCGT